CTCGTGTTACACTTTAAAGTACTCGTGTCCCTGTACCATAAAAACACAATGCGTATAAATGACAGCTCTGTGCCACCGTGTAAACATCACAAATGGTTAGTAGTGTACATAAATAAATGCCTGAGTCATGGAACTACAAACATGGCGTCTACAGAGCAAGTAATTTTGCAATGCTCCTCCCATACTATATATTTTATGCCATAATAAGCAGTGAAAGCGAAAGTTAGGTGACAGAACTGCAACAGGAGTAGTGAGGATGGCCTTGCCGGTCGTGGTTTATTCGGCGAACATGTTTTAAGCCTCCACAGAGCTCTCAGATGGATCTGGGTCCCCCTTCAGTCCCTGTCTGCGTTATGATGGTCTGTTTGCTCGGAGCTGCGCGCTTCTGCAGCGGCGGTAAGTGCAAAATAAACTCACATCAATATACACATAACGATATGTTCACTACTGTTCAGGACTCTTCACTTCTTCACTGCTGTTTGCTGATTTGCTCCAAACCCGGGCACTGCAAAATAACAATAGTACAAATTAAACTATTCTTAAATTAGTATTAATATTGCTTTCCCTTTCTCAGACACGACCCTCTGAGAGGATTTGCTCAGTTTCTGCAACTGTAATTTAACAAAATAAACATATTCAAAACACAATTCAGTCAGTACAAACTCTTTAGAAAATGTGACGGTAACATTGTAATAACACAATAGTGATATGTTTAAACTCACACATTTGAGGGAATTAAAAACCAATTCTGAACTTCGGTAAACAGGAGATTGAGGAGATCCAGGCCTCTTTCATTTATATTGTATAAGCGGATATTTCATTTTCAGATTCGGCTCTGCGCCATGAGCTTCCAGGACAAAATCCCGACCATTATTCGCTTAAAATACATGTTTTTTTTTAACAAGTATGGTAAACATATTATGAAGTGAGGTGGGACTAGTCACTGGCAGACTGTTTAAACTCATTGCAAATGGTTATTCTGTGTCTGAAATCTACCAGCTACTTCCATATTCTACCAGCATTTGGCTGCTGGTGCTGTTGTGTTATTGATTCATTTAAGCATGTGCTACAATTTATAGTAAAAAGTAAAAGATTTACCTCACAAACAAGATTTCATTCTGAAACACACACCAGGAACTGTTCTGTGGTTCCTCGTAGGTCTTCTGTTTTTTTCCTTTGCCATCTGAAACTAACTATTAAGGTCAACCATTACATTTCCTCTTGTTGTCACTCCGTGTCAATCTCTGCCTCCACATTTTAATTTTGTCTCCATGGTGTTTTTTTTTTTCCAGTCGAAAGCAACTGTCAGTGCCCAGCAATCCCCCAGCACAGTCTAACAGAACCTCCAGGGAGTACCTGCTTAAATATAAACAAGACTTATCGTTACAAATGTGTAACAGGTTACGTGAGGAAGGTGGGAACCTCAAATTTGATCAGATGCCAACAAAAGGATGATGGTCTTGTAAAGTGGACAACGGCCAACCTGCAGTGCATACGTAAGATTTATTTGTTCTTTTTTCTTTGCATCACTCACAAAATCCAAACTAATTTCCAGAGAAAATTAGAGAGCTCTCTGAGGGTGGCAGTATGACTCTTCACCCAGTTAACATATGTACAGAGCCTGAATCATATCTTCCCACCCAGCAACATATACCATCGGTTTTTGCATGTTTTTTTTAACCTAAAAATGACACCAACATTTCAGCCAACATGATGCCAAAATTAACAGCAGGGTTTTCCCTACCAATGGTAGACTCAAGGGGGGGTTTGCCCTCTTGGATGCCCTTATGATAGATAAAACATGACTTAAACACGTTAAAAGTGCCCTCTAGGGTGCTAATTCTAACCCTGATTAATCTGTTTCACCATAAATGCAAAGATGTGTGGGCAGCACCTGAAGCCTGTAAGAATGAACAGAATGTAAAATATGCTGTGACATGTTTTGCTCTAATTTCTGGTTGTGTTGCATCGGTCCTCTTATCATCTCCTCTCTCTCTCTCTCTCTCTGGGAGTTTAACCGTTGAGGGGCTCTGACTACATGTAAATATAGGTTTGGGGTTTGATATCCCCTCATTGAATCTGTACCCAGAATCAAATCTAATTTGGAAGCAGCTGGTCTCCTCCCAACCCTTAGGCGCAATAATGCCAACCCAGTTGAAGTCAGAAAGGAGAGTTGGAAGAAAAGATGGATCACCCAAACTCTTGGCAGAACCAGCATGAATTAAGTTAGCACCTCCAGGGGCTTAAACGCCTCCTTAACCCTGGGAGGCAGCTCCAAATACTAACGGTGGGGAAAGCAACTGTATGTTACAAAAGACATTACACACAAACATCTACTCCATACATACTCATGTCAGCCTGCCCTTGAGGAGTTCTAATGATCAACATAGAAAAGCACACTGGTGTCTTTATACTGTGCACAGCCACGCACATGTTCGTTTATGTGTTTCTAATGATCCAAATCTCCTTCCTGAGCCTAGTGGATCAGTCCCTGTTCATACAGCGTATGTAACTTGGTGGAAGGGAGTGAGCACATACTGTGTGAGGATTGAAATGAGTCATTGCTCTTTTACAGCAGTTTCAAAATTAGTGATTTGATCGTAAGGAGATGTCTTTTCATGAAAACCTCTTGGGTACAGCTCAACAGATTTTATGAGTATGCTGTCATTAGGTAATTGAGCCACCTGCATTTTGGTTGGCTCTATGTGGCGAGCATGGAACTTGAGTAGGGAAAGGGTTTTTTTTGTGTCTGTGCAGTAATTTTTCTTGTCTCATGTACTACTGTCAGGATATTGTGAAAGCTTCAGTGAACATGAACATTATACACACTCATATAGGTGTGTATATTTTTGTTAACCCAGAGAGAGAAAATGGGTGTTATCTTATGTACATATACGTGTAAAAAAGGTCCAGTGTGTAACATTTAGGAGGGTCTCTTGGCAGGAATATAATATTCATAGGTATGTTTTCATTAGTGTATAATCACCTGAGAATAGGAATCATTGTGTTTTTGTTACCTTAGAATGAGCTGTTTTTATCTACAGCTGCCGCGGGTCGCCTTCCATGCCATGTTTCTACAGTAGCCCAAAAAGGACAAACACTAGCTCTAGATAGGGGCGTTCTCGTTGCAACCATAGTTTCTCCTTCGCACTTGGAACGGCATGGTGACACGATCTGCAACTACACTGCTGGATGCCATTAAATCCTACACCCTGGTTCCTTGAGTACACATACATTAATACTCCATCAATTATCTATAACCACTTGTCCTTTGGAGGGTTGTCAACTGACATTAGGTGAGTATTAGGGGTGATATTCTTAGTTTCAGATGATGAACAATTTTCTTTCAATTTGTTGTTTTTCAGCTGACCCAAAGAGAACCACAACAAAGCCACCAATTACCACAGTAACAAGTAAGTGTACCGTATGCATGAGAGGGAAATTATTGTTAGCTATGAGCCAGAGAGAGGTATTCTTCACACCACATATCTGATTAATGTTGGTCTGATCTTGCAGTGGGTAACAATGATATTCCCCATGACTCCACCATTACTACCACAGTCAGTGAGTTCTGTATTTGCATGAATTTTGAGAAATACTAATAATAAATAATTACCAATGATGAAACTAAAAAATCTACTGTCTAGATTAGACTCTAGATCATGTATGTTAGTACGGATGTAGTGATGAACATCAGCAACTGATAGTAGCAGCAGTTGTGTGAGTAGTAAAGGTAGGAGTTGTAGCAATAGCAGTTGTAGCATTAATGGTTGTAGGAGTTAGTTTTACTCAGGCAACACTTTTTTTTTACTTAAGCATACTACAAGGAGGTTATGAAGCAGTCTAAATGTAATATTGATCCCTCTATATGAGCTACATAAACAAAGAAGACCATCACTGACAAGATTGGCTATTCTTATATAGTCATTCTTAAAGCCTGCCACCGGGTCAGATTTGGTTGGATTCCCCTTGTATTCAATGAAACACTACCGCTTTTGTCCACAGGGGCCACCAGAATCAACACAAAATAAAAGTTCCTTGTTGCTGCTTTAAGTAAAAGTCCCCTTTTTGTATAGAATACAACATAGCTCATTCAAATGGTATGTAAATAAAACTTGCTTTCTTACATGTTTACAATAGTGGTAGGATAACAAAAAATTAGGATGCATGATTAGTCCAACATGTCAGTAAATGACAACATGTATGATGTGTGTGATAGCACAGCTAGTGAGCCTAGTGGGGCAAATAGCAACAAAAGAGCCTAATATTTCCCCCAAGAGTCGGTGGAGACCAAAACAGAGCTAAATTAAGAGTATTGATAGTAATCTGATAATTTGTCAGTGTTTGTTTTTTTAGCTAGCTTATTCTGCTGCCCCCAAGTGGCCAAAAAATCTGTTCATACTGCCTTAAAAAGTCAAAATATACAAATTCGACTTTGTTACAGTAATGAGAGTGCAAATATAAATGACATTTTGATATTATAAATGCAAAATTGAATATGTAGACCAGTCTGTTGGTTACTTCCTCCATTTGTAGTAGTAGTAGTAGTAAAGGTAGTAATATAATAGTTGTTCTGCTAGCTTTAATAGTTGCAGATTTAGCAACAGGACTTGCTCTGTAGTTGTGGTTGTAGTAGTAGGATTAGTTCTTTTAGACGTGATAACAGCAGTTTTAACAGTGGTAATATTAAACAGACTAACACAAAACCTTGCATGCGTTTTCACCCTTTGCTATTAATTATGTGGCACATTATATCAGAAAATTATCATGTCTGGCGTACTTAGAGTACTTCTCAACTACTGTCCGTGCATGAGCAGAGACATTCATACTCATTCATATTGTTTCCTTCAACAGTAGTTTTACAAATAGTAGTTGAAGAAGCAACAGTGTAGTAACAGAAGTAATATTTGTAGTAGTCGCAGATGCAGTCATGCTCTATGCAGTATTAGTAAAAGTACATTTCTTTTCTCATCAGCCGTCGGCACGACCACCCTACAGACGACCCCGATTATAAGCACCTCAGCTTCAGTGACTGCAGAAACACACAGCGCAGCGCCAACCTCAACGACAGCTCACTCACAGGGTAAATAGTTTACAGTCGCGCAGGCCACGCTGATTTTACAAACTGGGGGTGCCGAGGGGCCCATAAAGCACACGCAAAAGAAAACTCTGCCTACCGAGCCGGCTAGAGAAGAAAAAAGCAGCAAAAAGCACCAATAATAGCAGTGAAGCAGAGAGCCAGTGAGAAGAGGGTCTGCACTGTAGCAAAGCAGGACACCACTATCAGTCATTGTATCCAACATTTTACGTTACGTACGTTTATGTTTTAATATATACCATTTCCCCCTATAGTTATGTTGACGATATCAATGTAACTGGCTGCAGTTTGATATATTATAATTACAAATCTTTATTGAGGGTAAGAAGGATATAGGAACCATTTCTAACTGATAACCTTATAAAATATAACAAATACATGCGGTACGTAATTGTAAACACAGGGGTCGATTTAAAAATGAAACATAAAATGTTTAAGAAGGTTACGACGATTAGAAATTCAAAATTAATTTATAATTTATATATTTTACTGTAATAATTATTGCACATTTTATGATTAATAAAGATTGGTTAGTGTGTATGTTACTGACTTGGGCGCAAGTTTTCTTAATTGATGATTTGGGAGCTGAAACTTACGCCATCTTTAGAATTTTGACCACAATTTTACTCTAAGCGGCGTTATACACATTGGCGCTGGTCTCATCTGATCCGATTATAAAATATGGATCCTTAAAGCATAGCCAAAACAGTACATAAACCTGGATGACATTGGGAATATCACAACATCAATTATCCTTTATTGATGTACAACTCACACTGCCTTTATCTGCCATATGCAAAACTGTTAAAGAGTAATTAGCCTACAGCAAAATCTTATTCAGTCTTTGTTTCTGTGCTGGAAAGTAGGAGCTGTGAATGAGACCAAAGCAACGGACGGGACAACGGCAACCTCAACCACCACTAAGCCTTTAAACAGCACAATTAACCCTCAAACGTCCAACCTAGGTGAGCTTTGACACTGTCATTATATATTGTAGCAGAGAATCCATAGCATACAAGGAAAACATTTGTTGACTTTTTCTCTCTAAATTGGCAGAACCTAGCAGCCTGGCCGCGTTGATCGCCTGTGTTTCACTGGTGATCATCATTGCTTTGATTGGAACCTTTTATTATAAATGGTAAGTTAGAAAACAAGCATTGGTTAAATTGAGTAGAATTGTTTTGCAGTGAACAAGCAGTTTTTATGTCTATCCATCAAAGGTTTCAAAGTTAGTGGTTAGCAGTTCTGTGCTGAAAGTGCATTTGGGGGGAAATTCCAGTTATCATTTGAATGGTTTTGATCTCATCACTGTTTCCTTTATACGTACATTAGGAGGTCCAAAAATAACAACCGACGGTACTCAGTGGAAGAACAGACACCCATGAATCCTTTTCCATTTGCACCGGCATCATAGAAGCTTGTAGAGAGCAGCAGCTGTACTGGAGGTCATTGGGATCATCTCCACGCAGTGAAGAACAAGTTGTTGCCTCCACACACCCTTTTGACGTTCTGTGGACATCGTGCTGAAGAACACAATGTCTGGCTTCATGTGAAATCTGCACATTTCCAACAACTTTAACTTTTTTTCTGAGCTTAAGACTTTTCGTAAAAGAAATGAACTGCACTTCAGGAACTTTAATTTTGAAGACAATGCGACACAGCCTACTTCAACCCCTCAGGATATGTCCTTCTAACAAGAATTGCCTGTTCAGACAAAGTTTGAAATAGCTTATCCTTTTCTCCTATAGAGCTCCATTATTGTCCGATTAAAAACACCAATGGGCCACACCTTTAACCAGGGTAAACATGTTCCCTCCTCACAATGAATAGGCACTGCAGTTTATTTCAGTCAGTTCCAACAGTTTTCTGTTGCTGTAAATACTCACCCCAACTAGAATATAGTAATTTTTGCTCAAAAGAGCTTTTTCAGGGACTTATTCTGCCTTTTTAGAGATTATAGAGTATCGCCAGCCTTATTCGTTAAGACTGTGGGGATTAAAAGGCCTTGGCAATAGCCTGCACTGTAATTGTATCTATGTAAGTTAATTAACTGAAGAATTAGACAGTTAAAGGGTTAAATTTCATGTTACACGATAATCATGAAAATATACTTAATGCTTTTTAAAATGCCACTTAAACATACTGAACGATTATCCAGATTCATACAAAAATTTATTTGAAAAACTTAACAGCAAGGTCTCATCACAATATTATAATAATAATAATAATAATAATAATAATAATAATAATAATAATAAGGGCTGCATGATATGGTAAGAACATCACGTGTTCTCTTAAATCTGGAGAAAAAGATTTCTAAGCCAGGGCATTTCTGCAGAACTACAGTACCAACACATTTTATCTTTATTAAAACACTGCAGCTCCTGCCATTTGCAAATGGCACTTGGCCCTACTGCGATTAGGATAACATTTCGATTAACTACGCAGCCCTAATAAAAACTAAAGTCTTAACCATGGTACTCCACAGACAGACCTTGCTGTGAATGGTTTTCATTGAACGCCCAAATCATGTTTTTTGCCACACACACACATTCTGGAGCAATTTGGGGTTCAGCGGGTCTCGAATGGGTAAACCAGATCCCCCAGCTGAGCGGCTGGTGGTCATTATTTTGAGAAGTCTGGTACAATTAAAGAAGTCACAAAGAACTGCTGGAAGCTCTTTAGTACCAAGTAATAAGATAGGGGACTTTTTTTAAATAGAATATTTAAAATATATTATATATAGAATATAAACTGACCCCAGGTTGGTAAAATCCCCAAAGTCCAAGAATAAATATCAAGACAATGACCTCAACCCTGGTTGTACAGCCGTGTGGGTTTTTAGTAAGAACCAACCCCGCCTGTGGTTTGAGCAATGTCTGATATCAGCATCCAAACTAAGTAGTTTGTTCCTGCATTACTCAGTTTCGGCATAATGCAGAAGGAAGTTAACCACCACATTGAGCCTTCATCTGCCATCCCATCTCCCTAGCTGTGTCACGTTTTTAAAAATATCTCAAAGCTCTTCCTGTAATGTAAAATGCACGCCCTGATAGCAACTAGCTGTACAATTTGCCAACTGTAAAGCTTTTCCATGTGGTGCTGCAATAGCATGAATTAGTAATCACTGTATGATTGTATTTTGAAATGTGTATCTTTTCTTGAGAGCCCTGATATTTATGAACTGGATGTTTAATAGTATTATTTAAAAAAATGCAACTGCTTTTCAATAATGTAACTTGTGTGTCTACTTTGTTTTATAATGACCAGTATGGGGAAAAAAAACCCTCAATGACAAGATGAATTTTTCAATAAAAGCCAACAGTAAATGTGAATCACCTTATTTTCCTGGATTTCTTCCTGCTCTGCCCTGTTGATTCGTATGATGATCAGAACTGAGTTCATACATAACAGTAACCTCATTTTGTTAATCTTCCCTGAGTTCCAAAAGTAAGTCACATAAAAAGCACTTGCTCAGCAACAAGCTCCTGTTATGTTCTCCTGACACTTTTCTGCAGCCTGAATCTCAGAGCTGGTCATGTAATCCAGTGTAGATTCTAATCATTATCATTAGAATAATAAGAGGTTCAGTTGTATCAGAGGTGTTGGTTGTCAGCCTCAAACATAGATCTTCCTAATTGTCCTTGAACACTGTTAATCCTTAGTAGATTTAAAAATAATAATAATAATAATTCCTTTACATTTTGTTGAATGTACTGAAAAGAAACTGTGGTGTTTCATAAGAATGTTTGACTGTCTTGCCAAGAGGCCAATGAGAAGCAGCTGCTTGGCGGGAATGCAGTTCAACAAGTCCTAGTGCAGTAGTTAGAGCAGTCATTGTCCTTAAACAATTTGGTTACTTTAAAAAAAAGCTCATAATACACAGCTTTCAACTGCCAAAAAGTCCAAAGAGATTTAATAAGAAGAAAGACGCTCACAAAATGTGGTTTTGTTGTTTCTTTTAAAGTAAAAGTAGAAAAGTTGGCCAGCAGTTGTCTATTTTTTTTTTTTTTTTTTNNTTTTTTTTTTTTTTTAAATAGGCACACACTTATCACTTTTGTCACACAATCACACTGTGGGTGCTGTAGACTGTTAATTACCTTTATAAAGACTATCTCAACAGTTACATTATCCCATTCCCTTTATCTCACAGAGAAAAATACAAAAACACAAAAACTCAAATTAAAACAGCTTTAGTTTTGAGTCTGTTTGAGTGTCTCTAGGTAGAGACCTGACAGTATTCCTCGCCCCGGTCAGCATTTTAAAAAAGGGGACCTGAAAGTCCTTTTCCCCCCTCAATGCACAAAAGAAGGAGGTATTTTAGGTCCTTGAAGCCAAGCGGCTTTAGAAAATCCTGTGGATTGCAGCCATTGAGAGCACGTCGTCGGTCATGAGGAAGGCAGTTGGCCCGATGCGTGTCCACACACACCTCTCACACAACGGGCCGCCAGCAGACACACCGTCAGTCTGGACAAAGGACAAAAGAGGGAGACTTAAAAACCACAGCAAGTGATGTCTCTGAGGTTTTCTTCAGCTCTTGTGTTTTCAAGTTTGTGATTGACAAAAACAAGCCGTTGTTACATTTTTAGACACTTTACAATACAACCTTCGCAAAACGCTAACTGGCTAATAAAGGCTAACAGTAAATTCTAGGCTTTAAGCATAAATACAACATGTCAATGCCAAGAACTGTGCTGAGCTATGTAAAACAAAAAGAGAAAATAGTATTTGGAAGCATTAGAATATTGGCATATTAGAACATATTAGAAACAGGAGTTTGATAGGTTCTTACGCATGTCATCTGTTGTTTGCGCATGATGAAGGCCGCTCCGGGTGTGAGGCAGTTGGGACAGTCTGTGACGCAGCACGGGATAGGCTCCCCCGCCTTCAGCGATAAGCCTGGCATCTCTGACTTCAGGAAGTACTCCTGGAAACGGCAGAATGTTGAGGATGTGGTGGAGAGAGGCAAAGAGTTTATTGTACAGAGTGAGAAATGCTCATGTTCCCAATTGGTTTGTTAGCCGTACATGCCTTTATTGTACCACGTCCTCCTCTTTCAGTTGAGGATGTAATTAGTATCACGCTTTTTTCTAAAATTTTAAAACTATGGAAATGCCCATCAGACACATCGCACATTTTTTAGATCTCAAGGGGACACAGAATGGGTTTTGGCGCACTGAAGGTAAACAGAAGTCAGTTTTAGGAATAGTCAGCAGTTTAAAAGGTAGCTGATGTTATTTTTGGAAACAAGCGGCAGCATAATATTTGAAGCCAGTTGAAGTGTCACACCCATTTCATTTCCTGATCATGTAAGACCACTTCACATATGTGGGAGAAAGGCTATCACATAATGTGCCATCGGCTCTGTTCAAACTCAAGCCCATAATAATGTAATGATGCTGCAAATATTCCATGATCTCACTGTTTAACTTTTATGTTGTAAATATTTTTTTTAAAGCAGTCTCAGTTCCCAGGGTTGGGTTTTATGGGACAGCTGGAAGGTCTTTTGAAATGTGCTTAAGACCTAGCGGGGGCAGTAAAATGTGTGTGTTCTCCCACAGATGCACCTTATCAGTGTTTTTTTTTTTTTGCAGGGTTTCCTCTACACAGACCCTTCCCTACAGGCCACCGCACACAGATGCTGAGAATTTTGCTCAAGCAGAGCTAAGATCCTCATTTACAACTAAGAGCAATTATCCTCATCATCCTTATCCCCCTCATTTAACAGTAATGTTCCTCATTGTGTTTTATTCCGTTTTATTCAGTGCAAATCTGTAAGAGTTGGGTCACAATTAGACTTAATCGTTACGGAAGTTCTCTTTCTCATTAGGTCACCACCAACCCACCACTCTATGTTAAAATGATATGGTCCAGAGGGAAATGTGGAAAGGAGCTTATTTTTGTGCTAATGTGCATCTTTAATGGCCTGTTAGTGAAACACACAAGTGCATGCACTAATGTGGGGCTCCAGCCGCGGTGGGTGGTTTTTCTTCTCTGCACAGCACAGGCGCCAACAATAGCAATTTATTCACGCAACTTGTATGAAAGCAAGGGAAACAAGAAAAGAGAAATCAAAACAGTGAAGTGAACACACATTCCGCTTCAGTTTGGTTGTTTTTGGTTTTAGTGTGGCTCGATCCAGCACATCTGCTCGCTGGTTATGTGAAAATGCAGAAAACAATCTGGGTTCATCTTATCACTAGTGGGAGCAACTGGAGGCGAACATGGTAATGGGGTTGGCAACAAGTCCACTTACTCTTATCTAGGCTTTGCACAAAGACTAAGTTGTGTTTGACTTACTGCTTCTGTGTCCGTATGATACAATTTGGGCCACAGCGAACACGACTTGACATCAAATGAAATTAACAGGCAAAACCAGTTCCGTAATACCCAGAAGTATGGCTATCTGGATTTACACAGAAAATTAAGCAATCACTAAAACACTACATCTACATGTAAGCGCAGGAAGTAAAAATGTCAACACATGATTAAATTCAAAGTTGATCTACATCATGTTCTTGTACGAAGGTGAACAACATCCTATTACTCTTACACTCAACCACATCCTGACAACTACACTGCAAGTCAGCCAAAGGAAACGGAGTGACAGAGGTGGTGAATTAAAAAAACTAAGATGGTAATATTTTGTACTAGCTTATGTGCAGATGTTTGCAAAGCATTTCTTTCCAACAGTATCAGCTGTAACAGTGGCTCTGAATATGTAAAC